AGCAACTTTGAATTGAAATATCTTTGACAATACTTCTCTTCCTTCTCACTTATTTCTATTACTCTTAATATATGCTAATATTTCGAAGAATGTACAGACACTCTCCTTATGATTCTACCATTAAAAATGATTTTCGCTCTTGCTGGATAAGGTCAAAAGTCAGATAATAATAACATATCAATGAAAGTATGAAGAAGTGAGTGGAGTGCAAAAGAACAAGCAACAGCAAAAAGTTTTATTTAAAGATTAGGAACATATTATGTTTTATTTATTGGTTTATTTGTATTTATCATTGAACATAGTACATGCGACAGAAAAGTTAAATATGCCGATTTGGATATTTATTGAAAAACAGATGGAAATTGTTGACATGGAATTGGAAAAACGATATTTGAAATAATTTATGGATGGTGCAGTTTTTTTAATTGCTAATTAATATTTAGAGTAACTATATCTAGAATGATTTCTTGACCATGAAAGTCACTGTTTCATTTTATAGCCTTTCAATTTGGATTTAGATTCTAAAGCAGCATCTAAAACAAATAAAGATTTTGAACGCGAATACTGTGGATTAATCGGTATTGAAAGAAAGCTTTTAAAACCATATGTTTAGTCTAAAGAAGATAGAACGATGCTCAGAGAGCAAGTTTTAATTGTTTATAAAGTTTGGTACACATGTCAGAGCACAGTTTACCAATTTTAAGAGGATCAAAGAAATAAGATCGTATACTTAAACAATCCGTATCTTCGAAGTTGCAAATAACTATCCTATAACATCTTTGGTGAAGATTTTTACATTTGATATATAGAAATATTCAAAAGTTCCAGCATATTCCAAAGTAATCTTTACAATAATTGAAATTAAAATATGTAGACAAAATGGAAAGTACGCTTCTAATTAAGCAATATTGATGAGAATAAATTAAAATTGGAGGATAATAAGCGGAACAGCTGAGATAATATAGCATGTAAATGGTTAAATACGATCATTTGTTATGTACCAATAAAAGTTATGGCAGACAGAGAGATGACATACAACTGTCTTTTTAGGGAAATTTCTTTTAAATTTAAGGGTGATGTCACGATATTTTCTTGCTTACCATTCATTCTTTTAGGAAGAAAAGAAAATAATTCAATGAATAATGGCTACATTGGCATTAGAAAATAGGAAAAGCATTGGAAAAATATTTCACAATTTCCTTTTTCAATATATTGAGCTTGTTGAATTGGGGACAGCTTTTCAAAGCTTTCTTTTAAGATATTTATGGTGCTAAAGAGAAAGGCAGACACAACCAGATAGATACCCCTAGATTAATTCAAGGATTAATTCGAACAACCAAACTGCTAAGGGAATACCCATTTTGAATGTCTTTATAAATGATTACTACAGCCTCATGCGACGGATCCTTCCCATTTCTGCCAATAGCTTTAAAATTACCGATCCATCTTGACGTCCTTTGTAGGAGGCGGTATTTGTGATATAAAGTGTGGAGAAAGAATGCTTAGAAATGAACGATAATTATGTAAGTAACTACGGAAGAAACGAGTTTATTGTCGTTGTTTATTGTCCAGTAGACATTTTTAATTAAATGCATCATTGCTGCTCATCATTTTCTCTGTAAAAAAAAGGAATTATATTTTATTAGAAGGAAATGATGATGATGTGAGAAGGAAAAAGATTTCGTCTGAACGAATAACTTAACCATTTGTCCTATTTGATCTGAAAGGATTGAATTAATCCCAAATAATTTCAAAGGCTAAAATACCCTGTTAAAGCTAGAAGACCAATCAATCGACTAATTAAAGCTTTCATACCGTTATAATAAACTAATTGGAGCATTTACACCATTATCCCTATGAAGTTCTTACTGATTTACTCAACTGGAATTGAATAATTTAAATATGATTTGCAACATAAATTTCTTGGAACAAGAAAGGGAAAATGTAAAATTTTTGTCGTATCGACTAAAAACCTATCAGCAACAAATATTATTATTTTACAGTCAAAATGTATCAGTGAACTCAGATAAACTATGATTTACAGCAATAATTTTACAATGAGGTGTGAGCTGACAAGAGGTTTATGACCTCATTATTCAAGGTCGTAAAAATCTTCAACCTATGATTATTCAGAAGCTTTCCGCTAGAGCGGACCGGTTTTCTCGTAACAATTATCATAATTAATTGTCATTATACCATGCTGTGTGCTCACTTTTACATTTAATAATCTCATCCCTCTAATCATAAAAGTGTCAAAGATAGGAAAGTTTCATCATATCTTTTCGAAACAAATACACTGATTAGCTGATTTTCATATCCATGATCATTGGCAATTTTTAAAAGAATTTCAAGGAAGATTTAGAAGGGTTTGAAAATGAATTTAGTCATGATACATAATTGAAAGGCTTGCAACATTTATAGTCCTCAGCAATGCAATATTTTATGGTCCTGAACATTTGACATTCATTTTGCACTTTTCCAATTTCTTTAAAACATTAGAGATTCTAACGAGTTTTGATGATTGTTATCATATAAAAAAAGCATACAATGTACGTTCGTATCACTCCGGTTCTGAGTTAAAAATTGAAGAATAACTAATCTTTGCATTGACAAAAAGACATCACTTTTTGCTTTTCTAAAGTTTCCGGAAAGTTCGAAGTAGTTGAAGAAATTACTGGAAAAAGAACAGAACATAGATTAGAGCATTTAATAAAGAAATTGAAAAGTGATAAAAATGAGAAGTAGAGAAGAAAAAGATAAAGTAAAAATTTCAAAAAAACCAAAGGAGTACGATAAAACAGAAGACATTAGTTATGCAATGAAAAAGTGTTCGAGTTTAGCAAGATTTAATTGTATATTTACTTCTAAATTTACTTTTCTTCTGAAACAGTTTAATTCCTAAAGAATAACTGCCAGTTTATTGGGGAATTTCAAAATTAGGAAATACTTGTGATAAGACCAGGTCCCAAGATTCTTTTAACAGTAGAAACTAATAATTGAAACATTATAAAATCACAAAATAAATATAAAACGATCGGCAAATATTTTAAATGGAAAAGGAGGAAAAATTAGCAGATTTTTGTTTGTTGCAAGCCATATTCCTGCAAAATAACTTCAGATTATTGGAAGAGACAGCTGAAAGAAAAATAAGATTGGCTTGATTCCTTCCTATGAATAACCGTTACACTTGTTGTGATCGTTTTACATTACTCAGCAAATTTGTTGTGACGAGGAAATGTCGCAATCAAATCATGAAAGAAAGCAGATATTTGTTTCCTTTTTGTGTTTAATCTAAATCATACAGGTAATTTATCCTCAAATTTAGCAAAAAATTTAAATAAAATTTTTAATATGAAGAAACCATTGATCAAAAGCAAAGGTGTTTTTGAGAAATAATTCGAAAAATTAGAATTTCTTCGAATAATCAAAAACCTACACTCTTGCAATTGATATGCTGATTGTATGCAAACACGGGACAAGAATAGTGGCCTATAGGTGCAATCTATTAGTGAAGAATAATTTATTCTTAATGTTATTTGGAATGAAGAAGGAAACATGAAGTGAAGAAACACCTCACTATTTCAGCCCACAAATTCCAAGTGCTGTGGAGATATTGAATATTTGGATGCCTTAAGTAGGCATCCAATTAAGGGAGCATTTAATAAATGGAATAGTAGAATTAAGATGGCTTTGTGTCTCCTTTATGGTATCCTTTTTAGTTTAGACAATCTCTCATTCCCCAACACTCCTCTTTTTTATTGGCTGGCTTAGTGTTCATTGAAGTATATTTTTCAAATAAAGAAAAAATTCGAACACTGAATTTGCTAAGTATATTTCGTTTAAGCATTTATTTAGAAAGAAGAGCAGAATATATCAAATATATTGAGGGCAAAGTTAATGGGAAAATTAAAGTTTCAATTTATAGTAAGTTAGGAATGTATTCAAAGCTGAGCAAGTGATCAATACTAGAGACAGCAAGTAGCATACGGGTCATATACAGCGTTGTTAGACCAAAAATGAACGGTGTATTCGCAGCAATGAATGCAAAATAGAAAATGAAAATAATACTCATGACAGTATCCAATGTAAGATATAGCGAGTAATTATTGAAAGAGAGGTCAGCAAGCTATTTTCATGATTCATCTCAATTAATGAGTCATGCAAGCATATTAATCGGTAGGGGTATTACTAAGAAGATTTAGCCAATATGTATTTCACATGAAAGATTTAGAAGGATAGAGAGAATATATTAAATACATTGGAAGCAAAGTGACCGAGTACTTTTCGTAATCAATGTTGTGTTTGAAGGAAAAGTACATAGTGAGATATTGAAGGGAGCTTCCTAGACGATGTTCTAAGAATCAAAACCATTCACTGAGTGTTCTAGTGATACGTAAGTTATCAATAAATGATTTGTTGATAAGCATGTGTTGCTGAAAAAGGAAGTTGAATACGCATTATTGCAATACTTAAAATGATGATTCAAATAACAGTAAAGAAAAGACTGGCTACGACTAGGAAACACATGACCTTTTATTACTCGATACTATTCTAATACGAACAGTCTGCTCATCATGGAAAGCACTTGCAATCAAGATAAAAATGATGCAGAAATGACGCCGAAGAGCAGCACTGTATTAAAGAAAGCATATATTGATGTTGCAGTCCTCACACTTATCCCATATATGAGAGCTGCTTCCTTTGAGGTCACGACCTGTGGCGAATTCTTCTCCACAACAGCATTATTTCACATTGATTTTCACTAACTTGATGTCACACAATGATCTCTTTCCTGTGTTTTGCCAACTTTTTGCTCTTCTTTCTTTACAAGGCTTCCTCTTGTTTTCTTTCGTATTCCCACATTTACAATACCGTATGCTCGATTTATTATGCATACATTTTTATCTTTGAAAATTGTTCTAACATTCAAATTCCCACTTTATAATCGATCTAGTCGCTCATATTATAACATGAAACAGTTGTGGGGCGGCAGTTGAAAATCATGAAGAAGCTAATAAAGAAGAGCGTGTAAAAGGTACTGGTAGGGACTTCCGCGGAAGTCTTACAGCTGAAAAAGTCGTGGAATCATGGGCAAAAGCAAAGGATATTCAAACCAGAAGAGGAAATTTAGCAAGGTAGAATAAGTGGACAGGAATAGCATTACGGGCACCAAAACGCATTGTGCAGTTTGTTCAACACTGCACACACTGAAAACGAGCAACACTTCAGGTGTTAATAAAAAGGATGTAAGACGCAAGTTTGCGTACAGATCTGACATAGTGATACAACGCGACTCCTCGTTTCGCTGCTGTGAGTTAGGAGACGCGCCGCGCAGCCTGATGACTCATCGCTTTTTTCGCTTTGGGGTGGGAGTAAGCGATGTTCCTTTGTTATGCATGGAGTTGTTCCTGGATAATTCATAGATTCCCACGGGTGGTAAATCATTTTTGGTACTTTTGCAGGTAAAAGATCTCCGAGCAGTTCGCACAATTTTCAATTTTCGCGGTGGACTTATAATTTGCCAATATGTGCTCTTTCCTTGTTTTTCATTGATCGAATGTTTTTTTGTTGCGATACGCGTTACGTTCTGTGCGTCGTGAACTGCACTCACTCTTTCTCTGAGTGTTCGCGCATGCCATCTAATGGGCATAAGTTCATGTGCTTCGCGCACGTCTCTTTTATATTCCAGGGATTGCCAGATTCGTTTCAAAAGGTGTATCAGCCCATCGTTTTCAAAGGCTTTTCTTACATCAGCAAGCTATTACGGCTATTCGTTTTGTGTGTGTCGCTTTCTAAACCGTAACTTTCATCTGCTACAACGATGAAGAAGAAGGGGACTCGTGGCCGCCCACGAAAACAACAAATTGCCGCACCTGTTATGTCTGTAGAAGATGATGGTGAACAAGTTGTGACGCCAGCAGCAGGTGAAGAAGAAAATGCAACTGAAGAAAGAATTATCACTACAACTGCACAAGTTCGAATTTTTGGCTTTTATTTAACTTCTAAGTTTGCTTCGAAGTTTCACTTTCTGAGTAAACTATCAATGTTGCAACGTTCTAATCTTCTTCAAACTTTCCATCTTTCCTCAGTTCTGGTAATTTCTTTAATCGAATGTCTACATTTTTCTAATTCTTCATAGTTTTTGATTAATTAAAATGCATCCTTCATGCTTGGCTATGAGTTTAAGAACAGCAAGAGAATGGGATAGTTTGCAATTTCAAATATAGATAAGGTTTTTTTTTTGAATTTAAAGACTTGGTAATGCTGCTTGATCGGCTTAGGATGTGGTTGGAAATGCCAACACGTACACCTAACTGCTTATTTATCATGTCGAGGTGAAGCATTTTTAACTGTATTTGCCTTTCTTTCCGCTCGTTTGTATACTAAGTCGCCGATATGTTTCGAGGAACATGATATTGCGGTAAGCTTTTACGCATGAGGTCAGGAATCGAGAAATGGTTTTTCAAAAGTATTACTGGGTTTTTTGGTTCCGAGATCATGTCCTCGATTCCTTTGCGCCCGTATGATTTTTAAAGTGCTACCATCAACGGTCAAATATTACCGCATCCGTATTTTCACATATATTTAAAAAACGGAGTAAGAAAACTTAGATCTCTAAAAATGAGTACTGACAAAAGCAATTGATGCACCTATCCGGTCATTCTTTGAGCTTTTTTGGGTGGGGTTTTCAGTGTCAGTTGGAAAGCATGCTTAAAGGTTTATGGATCAATGTCCGATAATGTTCGTTGCTTCGCATGCCAATATTGTGTTATTAACGTTGTTCGTTTTAAAGCTTAATGGTGCGCTGCTTATCAAACATTCTTGTGAAACGGGCGCATCTGGCAATCATTCTCAAAACATTAGATAAGATATTTCCAAGTTCGGATATGGTTGTAGTACGATTTTATCTTCTTTTCCCAGATAGCAATTCTTTCAGGAAGAAGAAAAAGCAGAAGATAATATCATGACTGAGATGAAAATGGAAACATCTGCCGATGTAAGCTTTCATTTGAGTTGTAACTTATATTGTATGCAGTTTTCGAACAAATTTTTGAATTTGATCATGTTTTGATAATGAATTTTGATCGTAGTTATTGTAAGTTGCTTATAAAAAAATCCAATCCTTATTTTTTAATTCTTCGATCTTTATAATTATTTTTCCATTTCTTCAGGAAACTTTGGAGGAAGAGCCTGAAGCACAGGAAGAGCAGGTGCAGGAACAAGAACAAGAACAAGAACAGGAACAAGAACAAGAGCAAGAAGAAGCTACGACGGCTAATGGTGATGAAATAAAAAAGGAAGATTCTGATATTAAAATGGAGACGGCGAGTATAGTTGGGGGATCTGGAGATGTAAGTTATTTTTCAGAGCGTGTTTCTTGTAAAAGCAACATTGTTTAGGGAATATTGTGGGAGTATGCAAATGATTAAGAAGCAGCTATGTGTTGAGATTGCATTTTCAGTAAATTTTTCATTGCAAATTAGTCATAAAGAAATGAATGTGCACATTTCAGGGTGAAATGGAAGATGCCCATGCTTTGCTACCAGAAATTGAAGAAACGGAATTTGTTGAGAACGAAGTTTACAAAGGCTTGAGAGCACAGAGTGTGAAGCCAAAAGTAGCTGTAGCACTGATTGAATTATACGAAGCAACCGATATGTCCCCGCAAGAACTTGACGATCGTGCAATTGAAATGCTTCGCTCTCTTCCGCTTGAACATGCATTGTTCATCATTAAAGAGGTATGAAAATGTTTATCATCTTTGAACAAAGGTTACACGTATAACATAATAAACACTATCAGAAAATTAGGATTATATATCCTGAACCTGAAAAAATGATTTGGATGTGATCGTAAGTTCTTATAAGTTAGAAATAACCGAATTTGTTTTATCGGAGAGACTCTGGGAATTAAATTTTTTAAAGAAATTGCTTCAGGTGAAGGAGTCGAAACTCATGGGCGTTCAAAACAAAGCGCAGTTTTTAATGTCAGTTATGCGCAATTTTCGCGACAAAGTGCGACAGCTTGGAGCAAACGTTGCTCTCTCACAAAAGTTGGTCAATGGACCTTCGGTTGAAAAAATCAAGGAGATTTTGGATCGAACAGCATACAATTTAGAAGTGACTATTGGCCAGCGAAAATACGGCGGACCACCACCAGATTGGGATGGACCAGCAGCAGGTCCACAGGGATCAGGGCACGAGGTCTTTATTCTAAAATCTACCATCTTTTAACTTTCATTTTCGAAGCTACAAGTGGACCAAGATTTATTGTTTAACAAAAAGCTTATATTTCATCCTTTTCTCTGTTCAGATTTATATCGGCAAGATTCCGAAAGAAGTTTACGAAGACACTTTGATTACTCTTTTCGAAGATATGGGAAAGATTTGGGATCTGCGGCTTATGATGGATCCGCTAACGGGAAGAAATCGTGGCTACGCTTTTCTGACATATTGCGACAAGACATCAGCCTATGAAGCTGCTAAGAAGGTAATAGCGCTTTTTACGATCTTCGAGTTGGCTGCTGCAGCACTTGATTTTGGAATTTAGGAGACGAATAGTGCAAAAGGTTTGTTCATGCAAAAACAGAGTGTCAACTACATTTGCAAATCGTTCGCAGTTTTTGTCTTTTTCTTTTCTTGTAAAGACAAACAGTGTGCAAATCTGCGCACTATTTTTGCATCTTTCACAGTGATTGTAGAAACTAAACATTTTAAAATTAGCAGCAGCAGCCAACGTTTTATTTTCTTCATTCATTTACTTTATCAGCGTGTTTTTACCAGCTATGTGTGCGCAGAGCATCTTTAAACTTTGCGAATCAAAGCTTGATTTTACTTTTGATTTCTCGTCGTTGCGTACTGATGACAGAACTTTTTGTTGACTGGTGAAAGTGCATACTAAGGATTTTTCAGCCTTTCACTGTCCCAGATGGATTAGGTTCAGTAGTATCTATTCTGATTACACGATGGTTGTACAATATTACTGATTACTCCTGGTTTTTGGCTTAGCTGAGAGTTGTTTTTTCCGATTGCATGCGTCACTTAAAAAATGCATATGTCCGTATTAGGACTGTCCCTGTATAGGATGTTCGCACATACAACATTTTGTCTCCCGTAGTTACACAGCAACGTGTTAATCATTGACATAACTGACTGTAACTTATTGGTGAAGCACATGGTATTTATCCTTCGGCTTGGTTAGAATTTAAGAGGTTCTGGAAAATGCTCCACTATGTATTAAGTAATGCAAAAACTAATAATTTAAAACTACTACTCTCGCATTTGAAATTGAGTATCTGAAAAGGCATAGTTTAATAATTATGCATACTTAATGTGATCTTGACGAAATCCATAATTGATATCCTGTAGCTGTTGATATAACTGCTCCTTAGAAAAGTAAAATAAAAAAGTAAAGGTTGATTGTGTTGATGGGAAGTTAGATACTGTTTCATTCATTTCATAGTCGAAGAAAGTTACTAGTGGCTGTTACCCCAGAAAAGTATCGATGTGTTCATAAACTTAAAACTGAAAATGGAAAATCTCTTAAGGCTCAATGGATAAAGTACTGAGTTATGTTTAAGTATTTTCTTGCATTACTTTATAGTTTCATTCGTCAATACTGCAATGTATCTTTCGCCTCTCTTTTTCTCTCTCTCTCTCTTCGTCTTGCCCCTGTCTTTATCCTAATTACATAAGACCTTCGGGTGGGACAAAAATTTGAAAAACTCATTTTGGAAATAAAATTTTTGAACACTTTCTGGAAAATAATGCTGAATTTTTAGAGCATGAAAAAAAAAAGAAATTTGGCAAAAAACAGCTGCATTTGTTCTGATCTATGTTTCTAGTTTGATGGTTACGAAATAATGCCCGGAAAAAATCTGAAAGTGAACGTGAGCGTTGCCAACACACGACTGTTTATTGGGAACATTCCAAAATCGAAGTCAAAAGAGGAAATTCTTGCGGAATTTAAAGAACACACAGGTAAATTTTGGCCCAAAAAGTGGTACCAAATCTCGTTCGCACACGTTTTCAATAGGTGGCTTTTTTTCGTGGGGATGACTTTCTGCTTTTGGAGAAGCTGATGGTGTTGTGCTTGTCCCTACCTAGTATCTGTGCGATACAGCTGGGTTCATTACTTTTCGATCATCCTGGCTTTCTTGAAGACCACTTTTGTGCATCTTCGGGTAAGTTTCTCCTTTTTTCATTCATTTCGTACCGTTGCAGGTAAGCGATTCTGTCTTCGCTGTCGCTTTTTTCTTAGGAAGTTTTTCTTTATAGTGTGATTTATTATTATCTTAATTGATAAAATTTCAGAGGGCGTGACAGACTGCATAATTTATTCAAGTCCTGATGCAGGGGAAAGCCGCAAGAATCGTGGCTTCTGTTTCCTTGATTTCTGTGATCATAAAACCGCATCAGACGCAAAACGCAAAATTCATGCTGGCAAGGTAATATTTCGTGAATCGAACTGTTTCTAATAATTTCATATGGATAATAAGTGGTAAATGTGCTATTTTAAGACAGCAAACGCTTAATGACAAGCAGTTTTTGAACTTTTTTTCTAAAGCTACGTTTTTTAAATTTCACTGCTGCGGCTGTGACAATTTTTATGCTTTTTTTAAGCTGCGACCATGGAATTCGGATTTGGTAGTAGATTGGGCTGAACAGCAGGAGGAACCTGATGAAGAAACAATGGCAAAAGTTAAGGTATTATATGTGCGGAATTTAAAAGAGGCCGTTACTGAAGAGCAACTTAAAGAAATGTTTTCGGCTTACGGTGAAGTTGATCGAGCAAAAAAAATTCGCGACTATGCCTTTATTCATTTTATGGAAAGAGAACCCGCTATTAAGGTATTTTCAGTTTTCATCTGTCGGTAGATCTTGGTTATTAAACTTTTAACATCATTATTTAGTATCTATTCATTTAGGCGATGGAAGCACTCAACGGTACAGAATTGGAGGGGATCGCAATTAATATTTCCCTTGCGAAACCCCAAAGCGACAAGAAAAAAATGATGCGTGGACGCGGCCGGGGTTTTGGTGTACGAGGCGCATTTGGTGATTTTGGCTTTGGTCGCGGCCTGCGAGGTGGACGTGGTACACCTGGTTTCGGACGTGGTAGTTTTGGTGGACCAACTGATTTTAGTTACAGTGGTTATGATCCCTATGGTAATGTCTAAGCGATCTTTTTATTTCATGACTTTTATGCATTTATTTTTAAAGATCTCTTGCGATTATTTTCTGGGCACTGTGTTTGTAAATTTCGACCGTTATGAAGTCAAATGATGTATTTCAGCGGGCTATGAAGAATTATATGGTTATGGAACACCTCCAGGTGCATATGGATATGGCTACGACGCTTATGGTTATGGTCCTGACCCTTATGGTTACGGGTATGGTACACCGCCGGTGGGAGGCCGAGGAGGTCGAGGTGGCATGCCAGTATGCTTTTAGATAGGACTTTTTTTAACACTATAATTACGGTCTTTATATGTGTATACGAGATAATAGAGATGTATACGAGGTGCTGTAAAGCTGGACTGAGACTCAGATGAAAGTCGGAGTTTATCTCTAAAAGACATACTTTTGTAGAATGGGACAAATAACAGTTAAGCTTATAAAGATTTGGTTTCTTATTTAATCTTATATGAACGAAAAAATTTATGTTTGACGATTGTTGGCGTGATGGTATGAGAAACACGAAATATTAGGAATTATAAGACATTTGTTTCTGGTATTGAGCTGGAAACTTGACGAGTTCACAAAATTCACACTTGGGTTAATGTTTAAAAAGTAAAATTTGAACAAATTCGGAAGGATATGTTTACCTCTGTCAACCAGTTTTGATATCATTCTTCAGTTCATTTCGACTTATTGCTCTTTTGTTTGAAGACATGTCGCATATTCTACTTAGATTAGAACTGATTAAGTGGAATCGCAATATCAAAAGATTAGGGTAATAGAGCTAGTGAGTAATTATCATAATGAAAGGAGAGCAAATTGGATGGCTGAATGATATGGTACATTTTTAACAAAAATGCAAATATCATCTGGTTACTATGGTTTGTGTGTTTCTGAGACAGGTTAGTATGATTGTGTTTTATCTGTTACTTCTTCTGAAAAACGGTTAGTGAGTGTGTCTTGTCTTTTGTTCACATGCATAGAAAGCCTTGAATTAAGTTTACTGTTACATTTTTATTATTAAATATAATGCAAATTGAATTGACATGTGCGTGTAAAAAATGTTCATTTCTTGCTACCAACGGTTTTAGGGAGGCGGATTTCAACCGCGTGGTTCTGCGGGTCGAGGTCGTGGTACAGGAGGTCGGGGCGGTCGTGGAGCGACGACACCTCGAGGTGCTAAGCGACCAGGTGATGCTGCCGGCGGTCCCGCGTCAAAGCGAGAGTTTGGCAGTGATGATTTCTCAGCTGATGTTAATATGAATTCATTTTAAGTTGTGAATTTCGTATAGCTCATTCACATTATTATGATTCTCATTTTGTCTTTTCTGCCGCGTTTTATGATGCCCACAATTGGAGTTTTCGATTATTTATTTTTGACCAATTTTGTTATTTTGGTGGTTAGTATCTCAAAGCATAATCTTTTGCACAGAGTTTTGATTACAACTTAAGTCCAGGCGCGGTCTTATGTTCCAATTTGATTATATATCGTGTTATAACGTTATTACATCGTTTTTTTTCTTTAGATCTTTGGATTTGGCAGTATTTTATATTCATCTTACCTTTTCATGGAGCACGATATTTATCTTTGAAATTTAGAAACTCCATGGTAGTGAGAGGAATTTTTCGAGATTTTCGCAGAATTTTTGATTTATATTTGATCTTACGGGATTGTTTCAGTTTTTGATCCAGTGACTTTATTTTGACCACAGTCAAATTAGTTTATTTTGCCGATTATCTTAGAGTTAAGTAATTTAGTAGGAAGGAAACCTTGTCGGCACATGCCTTTGTAAATTACTAACTCAAATTGCATATTCAAACTCTGAACGATTGCATGACGACTATTATACTTTTGATTTATTTTTTTTTTCTTAAAAACATTTCACTAGTAATCAAATTTAGCATGTGGATTACCAGAATATCTTGGAAGGTCTTAGCAGTGCGTTCTACTAAAACTCATCTTTGAAAATGAGGAGATATTGTTCACCTAAGAAAATGAAGCATTGTGTATAACTGTGATAGGATGCGTGGGAATTGTAACGGTGCACTTGACATGTTGAAAGTAGATTTGTTAGCGTTGGATAACAATGAGATCTGCCTAATTGATGTAGTTCGTGAAACAAATTACTTAGTGTTTTATAAACAGAATCAACGGTCCGACATGAACTCGTTTCCGTTGTTGGCAGCGTTGTCTTTTGTCTGCAAGCAAGTTGTTAAATAACAGGCGCTTTATTATAAAAGAGCTTAGGTATAGTGGAAGTGTTATCAGTACCTTTTTATTGAGAATGCAAATTTCATGAATTCTCAGACAATCAACGAAGTATGTTGTTTCTGCTGTATTGGTTGGTCTTACTAATTATTTAGCAATGAGTGACGTGAGTTATGTTTGTATTTTCAACCTCGAGAATTGTGTAAGTTATTCGAGGAATTTCCGAATAACTTGGCAAGTTGTTCAATTGTTACTGAAGTTAATAAAGCTTTTGTTATGCTTATGTCACTGGTCATGCATGTAGAGGGGAGAAATTTTCAATGATTATTCATCACATTTCTATGAATATACTGCTGTTGTCATTCTGGGGGTGTTCGCGTGAGGAACTAAGCCATCTTTTAAGGTGTGGGATTGGCATGAGCAGTAAGTAGTATTGACCAGCTTATGATTAAAAATGTAGATTCTAAAGATAGTCCTTCCCGAGAATAATCCTGTATCTTGCTTAGCAGTAATAATTCTTCATTGATAATGAGAGAAATAAGTACGCTGCATTTGTCCCGTTGTTGTCACATCGTAGTTAATGTAATCGTCTTCTATTAAAAAAACATCGGTATCCTATAAATTATGAGTATCCCATGTTTCATGGAAGAGCATATATAAGAATATTTGATTCCAGTATTTCGACTTTGTAGTCCATTTAATTCCTTTTAATTATGCAGCAGTATAGATACTGATGACAAAGGGACCAGTTTTCAAGTTAGAATGGTTACGCAGTCTAATTAGAAATGTTATATTTATAGTGAGTGGCTTTTTAAAAACTGCTTCACGCAATAATCAATATTTATGCTTCCACTTTATGTCCTGGTGAACGACCTAGGAAAGCGTCATATTTGACAAAGTGATTGCTTTTTTTTTATTGCTGCAGTGATATCAGCACAATTGTTCACAGAGCTAAGTAAGCCAAGGCCATTTGCTGTATCTCAGAGATCACCCTTTTAATCCATGACTCGGAAAAATTTCCAAATATCTTGTGCGGCAGTTCACAGAGTTAACATTTCTACTATATTTATTTCATTTTATATAGCAACTTTATACACCGATATTCATGAAAACATCTAAACTCGGAATTCTTCCTAACAGTCTTAACAACAGTTAAATGATACCATGATGACTACACGATTATTTCTCCATGAACTCGTAACGCATTATGTTATCCTTCAACCTAATTCGTCTTATATCAAATGCGAGGATCTTTGAATGCCATCAAATTTTACACACTTCTTACTATGCTATCCTCTGCAAAAAACAAGAGGACGCATTATTTATTTGCATCATAACAGTTACCGAGATAAAAACAGAACACTATAACAAGTCCTCTCCTAACATAATGGCTTACTAATCATACATAAATTAATCTATGGAGGCAGAAAAAAGAATTCGTTGGTCATAATAATGCAAACGACGATGTATTTCACAATCTATTGTTTGAAATTCGCTATAAATGAGGTCACTAGATCTTTTAATTTTGCATCAGTTTGTGGATTTATCTGGCCTTCTTCACGAATCGTTTTCAGCAATTCTTGCTGCGTCTGCCGAATGTGAATTAGAAACTCTCTTTCAAAAACGGTTATACGGGAGGGATTCAATTTATCGAGATGTCCCTTAACACCGGCATAAATTACAGCTACCTGGAAAGGTATTTTTTATACGTATATTTCATTATATGCATGTGTATATAGTAGGAGTTAAAAACAGTTTTTAATCGGCCCTGATCATGAATTGCACATTAAGAAAGCATTGAAGTCCTTGAATAACCCGAAACTATTGGCAATAATGATCAAACAGCCTCGAATCTGCACAGTGAAGAAAAGCAATACCTGTTCCTCGATAGCCATTGGTACATATTGTCCCTGTTTGAGGAGTTCTGTTAAACGCACACCACGATTCAACAATTGCTGAGTAGCGGCATCCAAATCAGAACCAAACTGCGCAAATGCAGCTACTTCACGGTACTGGGCTAGCTCCAGTTTCATTGAACCAGCAACCTAAAGACTAAGCATGAAATACTACTTGCGAACAAAAACAGAGTTATCTGTATTTGTTGCGTGGTTAAAGAGAAAGTGCTGTGAGACTTTGTACAAAATGAAATTTCATTTTTGTTATCGTGTTAGTTACTGATTTCTGTTCGCAGGTGATCAATAATGAAACCTACACGCTGAATTTAGATGTTGATTTTAACGAACAAGGCACGAAAAATTTTCAACGAACCATGCACGAAAATTATAGAAATATTTTAAAAAAGTATGTGTCTCATTTTTTTGCTCCAATTATCGCAAATCTGATATTTACAACAACTAACCCATTCTCAAGATGCTTGGATTTGGTCTGATTTGTCACTTTTGTTACAAATCATCGCCCTTTCCCTTTATTTATCAATAAACCTCGTTCATCGTTCCCTACTACAAGTTGCCAAATGACTAAATGAGCTAAGAAATCCAGTAATTTCCCAATTTTGAACAGAAGACATGTGGATTCCAATGATGACAGAAAAAATTTATTTGTGGATGCATAACACTGCACTGTAATCTATAATCTAACCTGCTTCATCGCTTTTGTTTGTGCAGCTGAACCGACACGCGAAACTGATAACCCAACGTTGATTGCTGGTCGTACACCTTTATAAAACAACTCCGTTTCCAGAAATATTTGTCCGTCTGTGATTGAAATTACATTGGTTGGGATGTAAGCGGAAACATCGCCAGCTTGAGTCTCAATGACTGGCAGTGCTGTCAGTGAGCCACCTCCATGAGAATCGTTCATCTGGAAAAACTTATCGTTATTGTTGATATGAAAAATTTCTATGAACTTCGAACCTGAAGTGTCCTTCACATAGCAAAATGTAAAAAATGAAAGCTTAGAACTAAAAAGTGAAATAAACTAAATGTAAATCATTAATCATCTGAGCATAAATAGAGAACCCTAGACTCTGACAGCTGAAATACCTTTTCGGAAACAATTTGAGATGTCCCAGCAAAATTTTCCTAAATTAGTGACAGCAAATTTTAGGAGAAAAATGAAAATGTAATAAAATACTTTTGCAGCCCGTTCTAACAAACGAGAATGAAGATAAAAGACGTCGCCGGGATATGCCTCACGTCCGGGAGGACGTCTGAGCAACAGTGACATCTGTCGATAAGCCACAGCTTGTTTTGAAAGATCATCGTAAATAATCAACGCGTGTTTTCCGTGATCTCGAAAGTATTCACCCACTGCGCAGCCAGAATATGGTGCTAAATACTGTAGCGGTGCAGCATCTGCAACAACACATAAATATACTTTCAAATTTTCGATGTGAATTTAATTCACAGCACAAACTACATATTATTCACAACAGAAAAATATATGTAAAAGAAATATAATATATTACTGTTCATAGAACTATCAGCATTAGCTTCTCGCTGTTTTGTAAGATTCTATGAAAACCAGGCCAATTCTGTACAAGAACTATTACAATAAAAATGAAAAAACAAACAAGAGCTAACCAGATGCAGTAGCCGAAACAATAATTGTATATTTTATAGCACCACTATCGGTGAGTCGCTTTACGATTTGTGCAACAGTGGACCGTTTCTGTCCAATAGCAACGTATATACAGTAAAGCTTTTTCTTCTCATCGCTACCTTCATTGAATCGTTTCTGATTTATTATCGTATCGATCGCGATTGCTGTTTTCCTATCAAAAGTTTATAACGTTACAACTGTATGCTAATACAATAAAATAAATAATGATCCTACGGAATAATTAGCCCTCATATTATTACACCTACATCAATCGAACATTTCTTCGAATAATTCTGCTTTAACCTGGAAATCTATCATCACAAATCTACCCAAAAATGAGAAATCTAAAACACCATCTTTGTAAGAACAAAACTGACAAATCGATCAGTGAAATAAGGTATACCCGGTTTGTCGATCCCCAATAATAAGTTCACGCTGTCCACGCCCAATCGGTACCAACGAATCCACAGCTTTCACTCCAGTAAGCATCGGTTCACGTACGCCAATGCGAGGAATGATTCCTGGAGCTTTGACACCAACCCGAGATCGATCTGTACATTTTATTGGTCCTTTACCATCAATAGGATTACCCAGTGCATCCACGACACGACCCAGCAGTGCTTCTCCAACTGGGACGTCAACGATTGCTCCCGTACGCTTTACAATGTCACCTTCCCTAATAGCCTTGTCGTTACCAAACACCACTACACCAACATTATCCGGTTCAAGATTCAGTGCCATACCCTTTAAGAAAAGTGGAGAAATTTCAATTTTTTTGAATAGTTACTTCCTTTTTTTCTAACAATTTACACTTTTTTGCACAGATGCATACAAACAGAATTTATGAACTCTGTCCTTAAAACACAAAACAAACCAATATTTCGAATAAAGAAAATTCGAAAGAAAATTTTAATGAAATGACTATCCATATGTACCTCTGTTTGAAAATCCACATGTGCCTCTGTGGTCCTCTGTCATTTTATCTTAAAGCATTTAAAAATTTCTTACATGAAAAAATAAAAAAAACAATACCTTCATACCGCAGTCGAATTCTACCATCTCTTCGGCTTGAATGTTATTGAGACCATACACGCGGGCAATTCCATCGCCAATAGAAAGCACTTTTCCGGTTTCTTCTAGATTAACCGCCGATTCCTGCCCTCGTATGCGATCTTCCAAAATTTTCAGCATTTCTGCACCAGCTGCACAGAAGCGACCGCTTGTTCCGAAACCGTTCGATGAAGCCTCAAATTTGTCTTATGACATTTTGAACTGACAATGAATTCCCTATAACTACATATAAAACTCAATTGCTGTATAAAAGGCGTCTTTGAGAAAGAAAAAAACCTTCGAAACTCTTGCAGCTAACAATAACTTCCTTGACAATATCCTCGATAACATCTTCCTGAATATCCTGAAACTGATCCAAAATCGAAATATAATGAAAATATAAGTACTGTTACTCCACCAACAGTGCAAAACGCGACAAGCAACAGTGTTGAATGATTTTACTGGACCTATCCGGATAAATCAAGAACTCTTTATTAACAACTGTAAGCCTAAGTATTGACGCCCTGGATAATAATGAGTGTACTAATAAAATATGTGATATACGTGACAGCCTAGTAGAACAGCGTGTAAAAGATCATATCGCCGATCTTACGCCTGCTACCTCAACACACATATGTAAGAAAGAAAAATTACAGCTTAAACTATACATATGTATGAAGAATTGCAGCTTAAACTATACATTCTTCAAAATCCGAATATTAATCGGCCAAAGTAGCCACCATGAAATAATCGCGTCCCCCGCTGCAATTAGTATTGTTGCAAGATTGTAAATATGCGATATACAACCATATTATTATCATATTAAATCTAAGAAAGATGATGAATGTAAATAATCTTTAATGAGTCAAGTACTAATTTAATGCTACATTTAGATATGGCAAAGCAGGATATGATGTCTACAGAATAACTTTAAAAATTAGCCCTAGCCTACGGCTTAAGGTTAATTATACAGTCAAGTTAGTTATATAGATCCACTATTCACATAAATTATAGTGTAGAAACCACCAAACCGCTTAAATGTGAGAAATCTTGATACAACAAATTGATTGAATAAATGCATCATCACACTAATACTTTTCCCATAAGTGACAAAGTAAATCTCCTACGCAAAATACGATAAAATCCTAGCGAGAAATGGTATAAATGCATCTGCATAGAGACTCGATGCAACTCGGTGCATCGAATTTCAATTCGCATCTTCCCCTTCATGTGGATAGATCTTCGAAAAATCATCTTCGACCTGCTTGTCATGAGACTATGACTTTTGTAAAACAGCTATAATGTTTGTGAATAGAAGAGAAACGAGGTTCCATTGAAAATAAAAAGGAGCATATGTTTATGAGAGAATTTTTAAGTTATCAAAGGAACTTGAAATTAAACAAAAAAGATGGAATCGATTAAGTTCCCTTTTTTAACGAAACGAAGAAAAGTGCAAAGAAACGAGAGCTATGCGTTAAGTGAAGTTTATAGAAGGTTAGGATCCGAATTGCTAATAGCAGTGAGATCTGCGCGCTATTACAAGTCTCGAATTGGTGGGCTAACAATAGGGTCGTTTGTCGGATGGATGTCAGCCTATGGGGGTTTAGCTATCGGTATGATGCTTTAATCCTTCCGTCTCTTTGATTTCCTTGTCGGCTGCCTTATTGGATTTCGAGATAGAAAGTAAAATTGGATTGTGGTCGCAATGCTGTTATTCATGATTGTGTTACATGTTAACAAAAACTTACGATTAGTATTTCGAAGAGTAAAAAATTTCATTAATTTGCAGGTAAATCGGGAGAGTTGGCTAATACAAATGGCCAAATCCTACGATTATCTCTTCAAGGTTTGCTATTGTTGTCACTGGTAATTTAAAATTTTAATCCAGAGATTAAGTAGTTAGAGCATTGCTATGAACTCATAAATAGAGCCCTTTCAAAGAACTATTAAGATTATTTTTCAAAACTCCAGTGATAATGTTAATAGGAAGTCAGGCTTGAGAAACATTGATGAAGTTAAAAAATTCTAACTCTTCATTTATATTGTGTTTATGTTTGGTTTTCAGATGACTATAGATAAATTCATCGTTTTAGGATGGATCTAATTTTAAAATATCCTGATTGAGGTATGTGTTGCCAGTTAATATGTTCTCTTTTTAAGCTGCTTCTTATTGGAGATTCTGGCGTCGGAAAGACATGTGTGTTGTTTCGATTTTCGGACGATTCATTCAATAATTCATTCATCTCCACTATCGGTAACTTTTTCTCTATGCTTTTCATGAATTTACATTAAGGTTGTCCTGCGGTATTGATTTGTCAGAGGAATAAATATTTAAGGTATTGATTTCAAGATACGAACGATAGAATTGGATGGAAAGAAAATCAAACTACAGATATGGTAGATTTTAAATACATTTTACCTTTGAAAATTCTTGTCAAGATTACCTGATTATAAGTTCATTCTTTTGATTTTATTCAAACATCTGAGCCACAAACTTTTCTTCATATCGACTTCTTAATTCAAGATCTTTATATACTACTTATTTAACTGGTGCTCTTGTAGTAATTGAAAAGTAATATCTGTTTCCATTCGAGTGGAATTTCAGGGATACCGCCGGTCAGGAACGCTTTCGAACAATTACGACCGCTTACTATCGAGGGGCTATGGTATGGTTATACTGATATTTTTCCAAAAGCTTTCTTCACATCACACTATTTCATATTGTGTTATTTCTGGTAAAACAATTATTAAAAAAAAAAAGTTATTTGAAGGGGATTATGTTGGTGTACGATATAACAAATGAGAAGTCATTTGATAATATAAAAAACTGGATTCGAAATATCGAAGAACATGCATCGTCGGATGTGGATCGAATGATTATCGGTAATAAATGCGATATTGAAGAAAGGAGACAGGTATCACGAGAACGCGGTGAACAGGTTAGTTAACTTCTCGTGTTGCCCTGCTGTCGAGCAGTTCCAATCATTTTGCTGAGCGTTTCCGACTAAAGGAAAAAGCATACGAAGGTATCTGCGCTCACGTTCTCCTTGAGCAGTTAAAATAATTCTGTGGAGGGGAGCAATTGTCGTGAACATTCCTATTAGGCGAAAAGAATTATAAGGTTTATAAGGTTTAAATGGGATCGCTATAATAATTAACGCACTGTTAAGATGACTTTTGGAAGATCATACGTTTTTATTGCAGTTGGCTATAGAATACGGTACGAAATTCATGGAAACATCGGCCAAAACCAATATCAATGTTGAAGAGGCGTTTTTCACGTTGGCTCGTGACATAAAATTGAAAACAGAACGTGCATCACAACAGAACACTACCCAAAATACTGGTCGAATAGCGGTCCACCAAACGCCGAAAAAAAACTCTTCCCTCTTTTCGGGTTGGAGATGCTCGCTTGTCTAGCAAGAAATTATCCTTTTGTTTTTTGTTATCACGCCTGCACTGCGATGAAACAATTAATCATTGTTTTACTTATAGATGCGGGTCTTCACAATGTATATTTTGACGTAAAAATGCCTTCTAAACCCTATTTTTGTGCTTTCAGATTATTGCATATTTCAGGAATAGTCGTCATGAAAAATTCCGAACTTGTTTGTATTTAAATCTCCGACATATTTAGATGGTGGGATGATATTCTGGTTCCCTCTATCCTAGCATACTTGAATGCATAATGCGTTAGAAATACATTTCCTGCATTTTTTGTCCCCTTCGACCTTTATTCGCGTTTGAGCAATTTTTTATTGTGATAGTTCTTCTCCTCCGTACTTCCTGGCTAAACTTTAAATTTATGTTTCAAAACAATTCCTTATCGCAAATAGAGAGAAAAAATTCAGAGTGCCGGAGTCAAAAGAGAACATGTTTCCTTGTCTTATGGGTAGGTGCTTCCTTCTATGGGCTACCACTAGAATAACCACAAGTTTGCTTCAAAAATTATGAAGGTTTACGTATTCAGGATAATTTTTCTGCGCAGGCAATCTAGCCCAACTGCAGCCATTACTGCTGACCAGAGGATAGAATTTGATAATAAAGCGGGCTACACATCTAGCACTGAATTGAGTCGGTGCGTTTAAGATCGCGAAAAGCTAGGACATCGGTCGAGAGGATATCGGTAATCATAATATTGTATAAATATAATGATCACTGCATTTTATTATACATAATTGGACATAAGCTGTACCTGATGTATAAACATTATTTCTGGACTTACTAATCTCGAGAACCTAGCTAATTTGACAGTCTCCCGTTTCAAAACTTCTATAGCATTAGAGAACGAAGATCCACCTATGAAATTCTCTCAATTACCAGGAGGGAATCACCTATAATGCTGGATATGAACGAACTCATACGACATTTGGCATAGAATGAGGAATGTATTATCAAAGCATTTATAACCAAATGTTTTTGGTAACCATGAGTAGGGACCAGCGCACCTTCGAATGTTTATTTATTATATTCATATACTGATGGTACACTTCCAACTTCGTCAATTGATGTTTTCAATTTTTTTATTATGCATACATATAGTTAGAAATCAGCATATACACAAATATATAAAATGGAAGCGAGAAAGCCATGACACTTCCATGACATTTAAAAGTATGAAGAAAACAATTAAGAAATACAAAGACGATCACCCGTGGCATATTTGGAGGCATATTCCAGATAAATATAAGACTGCCCATTATGGTCTCATCACACAAGAAACTAAGAGGTAACGGATTGTGATTTTTTTTTACATGTACAGGAAGAAGGGACTTTTATCCGAAAATGTTTTCTCTCGCCACTGGTCTAATAAAATATAACATACATGTTAACGCCATACTTCGCAAAATGATTCACCATGAGAAAATAAAATATCAAAAAACAGAGTAGTTTATAGCTAAATTCTATTCTATTTTATATAAAACAAGGAATCTTTGCCAAACATATAACACGAAGATAAATTTTACCATTTGAATCCTTTGCAAATAGTCAGCAGCACAACGGGAGAAGTATGGGACCAGCAAGCATCACACTGAATTTTACCGCGAAAAGTAAAATTGCGGAAGACAGATGATGATGTACAAATTTAAAATCAAAAAATCTAAAAAGCTCATAGAAATAATAAAGCAGGGAGCGCCACAGTCCTTTCAATAAAGCACATGATCACACAAGGGTGAGCTGAGAACATCATATACCAAGTCAATGCTAAGTCTTGGAGCCTCTAAAATTTGGTTATCATATGGTTCGGAAAACAAGTCACTGATTTATGACAAATCCAGCAATATGATGGGCTAACTCTGTGCAGTCTAAATTTCATCGGAAAGAGTCCCGCACAACCGAAAACGTGAAGTCAATTTCAAAGGAATAAATTAATCGAAGACTTTGAAGTTCCTAAATCCTCCCGATTTCTTGTCTCAGCTACAGGACCCAAGAAAAAGACTTGATGTTTAGCGCTCTTCGTTCAAATTGAAATAATACAGCAAGGCAGATCAGAAGCGGACTATTACAACTGTAAGGACATGCAACATACGTTCTTCGTAAGTCAACATGTCAGATGCTAATATCCCAAAAGTTTACAATACCAGTCATTCATGTTTAATTTATTTGCTGACCAGGCTGTTGACATTCAGAAATAAAACAAAATATTAAAGATGGCACAACATCCTAAAGCTTTTTAAAAGATATCAAAATGAACAGATGGAAGCATTTATGAAGTCGAGAGCCTGCTGATCGATTTCATTCATCATTCTTGCGGCTCTTTACCTAGCCGTCGAAGTCGTACTGAAAATAAAATTTTTTTGGTTTATGAAAAAAGTCTTTGAATCCTGTACACAAGGGAGTTCTACACAGTTTTCCAATACTGGTAATGAAACCAACGTCTCTCATAATTTCGTTCAAGGGCTTCCGAAACTCGGTGGCGTGCTTCCATTGATTGAAAAGATACACCAACGCGCAGCAATGATTCATTCTCCTCTACGGTAAGCATCATATCCATTTCTATTTGATTTCCTAACACGCTCGCCCGCTGAAATCAGAATGAAAATGCTATAGTGTAAAGTGATACAGTTCGATGGGTGTTAGGCTTTATTCTATTGAAGAGCATCTTGATGTATGACCCACAACGAAAAAAGATATGTCAGCCAGTACAGCAGTTAAAAAATGAAACCTGGAAAAACTGAATAGTTCTTGCAATGTAAAAGAAAAAAATACCTGGTTTTCAGCATGAAATTCGGTGAGGTTTTGGGTAGCAAGTGTAGCACGTAGTAATTTTGCAAGTAGTTCCGGTGTTATGAAATTCGACTCAACATTCAAAACACGTAGCGATGGCGACGTTTCTAACAATTCAACCAGACCCTAAAGAGCATTTGCAAGATATCATTAAGTTGTTATTTCTTTGGTTGCAAGAATGAATTTACGATCGACTGTAATAGATTCGATAATATTGATCAATAACGAAAATAGATTATTTATGGCATATATAAATTATTGGAAAATAAGAATATGATAAAAGTTGAATAAAAGTGTAAATGCTGCACAAAATTACTAATTTTCCATCTAGTTCAACTGTTATTCTGCTAACAGCATTTTCATTGCTTAATTTTGTCAACATAAACGACATATGTTTTTGTAGAATTTAGCAATAGCCGTGTAAATTGACAAATGCTGAATTACTTTACACCATCACTCACTAATCGCCTTTAAATTGCTCGTGGACTGACAAATACTATAAAGTAAAACGTATGAATATTAGAGGGAAAATAGTGCACTTACTCTGGCTTCTTGGTCAGAGATAGCAGTATTGGCCAACGATAGCTTTTTAATGTGCTTGCTCGCACAGGATGCTTTAATGAGGGCTCTGATACGCTCTTTTGATATTCGCTTCATGTTGTTGATATTTACTTCAGTCACCATCTCATCATCTGCTTCAAGTTTCCTGTAATTCAAAGTCTTATTTACGCAGAATTGATGAATAAAAAAAAACTTTTATATTAATACCTATATTATAAAAGCCTCAAACATTTCAGATGTTAGAGAACCAAGTTAAGTAAACCTACTTGATGCAGTCATCAACGTCAGTTTCATTTTCTGGTTCTTCCGGAAGAATCTTCGCTTCGGAAGCCCTAACAACACCACTAAACGTAGTTCCTGTTGTTTCATCTTGACCTTTACCCTGTAACATGAGCAAAAAACAGTCCCAATTTCCTCAATAGCAAGATAATATTAACTTTCGCCGGAAGAAGCTATTGTGAAAAAAACCAAAAGAAACCAGCACGGAAACAAAAAAAATTAGCTTCCAGATATCAGACACAAGTTTTTAGAAACAATATTTTCTCACTTTTAAATATAAATACAATCTTTATAAATTAATAGTATTCATTCAAACATCCCTCATTAGCATAATTCATTTCCATGAAATACTCAAGTAGATAGACAGATTTCATTTAAAACTTAAGAAAGTAGATGCAAAAAAAGTCCACGAGTCCACGGGTAAACAACTAAAAATCAATTATTAGTTCCAGCATTAGTAACATGGCTGAGAGTTTCAGTAATATATCTCATTGCTGACCTAATGATAAATATGATCAAATTTACCTTACATTTATCTTACAGCCTTGGTTAATGTTTCGCCGATTATAAGTCCCGAATGAACGTGGAGTAATGAAAATTTCCCACGCTCCGATAAAACATTTGTTAGATTATGCAAGGACACATAACATTTAACAATAATAATGGCATAAAAAAAACCTTCAATGCATTGTAGTACTGAGATTGATTGAGCAAGTTGTGCATTCCAAGAATACCAGCTAAATCAACGAGATCTTTTTCGGGTGCTTCCTGTAGTGCTTCATTCAAATCGTCCTCGTCATCATCCAAATCCAGCTCTATTGGCATTTCCATTTTTCCAGATTTCTTATCACTACCCTCTTTCGGTTCATAAATTTTCCCTACAACAAACTGACTGCATAGCGAAAAAAAGACCGACTTTGAGCTACGCCTGGAAAATCGTAAAGTTGTATGGTCAGAAAAGTTATTTCGAAAAAAAATGATATCCTCGGTACTTTTTTTTTCGCTAGCGATCAGTACCACAAACATTCTTTCATTGATTATCTTTCGAAAAGTTTACGAGCGATTTATTAGCTGCTTAAATCTAAAACAACATGAGATAATGCTATTGCCTTGTTTAGTTTACTTCAGTACTAACCTCGTTTAATTCCTGGGCTAAAGGGAACCCATTCCTCCCAGTCTTCTTCTTGTTTTGCGCTTTCTTCCAGGAACAGCAACAGTTTATCTCTCTGGTAAGGCCCGGTTGGTTGTTTGCTGGTTTGGTTACGACATCGCTGTGATGGTGGTAGTAAAGAATTCTAAAAAAAGTGGTCCCAAAAAATACAAATGTACTTTGAACAAATAAACTTGCATTT